CTCAGAATGGAATAGCTGAGAGGAAAAATAGACATTTGCTTGAAGTCACTCGTGCAATTATGTTTTCTGCTAAAATTCCAAAATATGTACGGGGAGAAGCTGTTTTACATGCTACCTATTTAATTAATAGGATGCCATCAAAAACTCTAGGATTTAAAACTCCTATTGATACCCTTCAAGCCAGTTTTCCTGAAACTAGGCTTATTAATTCTCTTCCCATAAAAATTTTTGGCTGCACAGTTTTTATTACCAACCCTGACAGAACTGCAAGCAAATTTGATCCTAGAGGCAAAAAATGTGTTTTCTTAGGACTATCTTCAACACAGAAAGGCTATAAATGTTTTGACCCTGTAACAAAAAAGATGTTTGTAACAATGAACACTGTTTTTGTTGAAAATCAACCTTTTTTTGGTACTCATCTTCAGGGGGAGATTCCTAATGAAGATGGTGATAATGTGTCACATATCCATGAAAAACTTGAATCTCTTGACATTAGTCTAGATGCACAATATAATAGACAGTTAGATGCACTAGAAAATAGTCAAGAGTCAAAAGAAAATGAAATAAATTTTTCTGAAACAAGGAAAGATGATGAACAGCAGACAAGTAAGTTTTTTGGCAAGGTTTATGAAAGGAGAGTTCCAAATCAAAGAATAGAGGACATCCCTGATCCTGCCACTGCCCATGAATCTGACTCAATGTCAGAAAATGACAAAGGTAATAATTTCAGTGATCTAAATCTACCCATTGCTCTCAGAAAAGAAAAAAGATCATGTGTTAAATACCCTATCTCAAACTATCTGTCCTATTCTCAGTTATCTACATCATTTGCAGCTTTTACCTCTAGTCTTTCCACTGTTTCTATTCCCTTAACCATACAGGAAGCTCTATCTATACCTGAGTGGAAGAAGGCTGTTTTAGAAGAAATGAATGCTCTTGAAAAGAATCAGACATGGCAGGCTGTAGAAGTACCCAAAAACAAACCAACAGTGGGATGCAAATGGGTATTTACCCCTAAATTCAAGGCATATGGTACACTTGAAAGATATAAGGCCTGATTGGTTGCCAAAGGATACACACAAACCTATGGCATAGATTATACAGAAACTTTTGCTCCAGTTGCAAAATTAAATACTATAAGAATCCTTCTATCTCTAGCTGCTAACCTAGACTGGCCTCTTCAACAGTTAGATGTGAAGAATGCTTTCTTAAATGGGAAGCTTGAAGAGGAAGTATACATGAGCCCCCCCCCCCCCCGGTTTGAGGAACAATATGGCTCAAAGGTGTGCAAGCTGGAGAAAGCTTTATATGGACTTAAACAGTCCCCAAGGGCTTGGTTTGAAAGATTTACTCAATTCATAAAGAAGCAGGGATTCAAGCAAGCCCAAGCAGACCATACACTATTCATGAAATTCTCCATTAAGGGAGAGATTGCAGTACTAATTGTTTATGTGGATGATATCATTCTTACAGGAAACTATTGTAAAGAGATTGAAGACCTGAAGAAGAAGCTTGCTCAGGAATTTGAGATCAAAGACCTGGGAGAATTGAAGTACTTTCTTGGCATGGAGATAGCCAGATCAAAGAAGGGAATTGTGGTATCTCAGAGGAAGTATGTACTAGACCTACTCCATGAAACAGGTATGAGTGCCTGCAGACCAATAGATATTCCAATTGACCCTAATCAAAAGTTAGGAAATGTCAAGGAAGGAGTACCAGTTAATATTCACCAATATCAAAGATTGGTGGGAAGGTTGATTTATCTGGCACATACAAGGCCAGATATTGCCTTTGCAGTCAGTATGGTTAGTCAATTCATGCATAATCCATTCCAGGAACATCTAGATGCTACCTACAGAATCCTAAGATATTTGAAAAGCTGTCCAAGGAAAGGATTATTTTTTAAAAGAAGTGACAATAGAAGTGTAGAAGCTTTTACAGATGCAGATTATGCTGGTTCAATAACTGATAGAAGGTCTACATCTAGGTATTGTACCTATGTATGGGGGAATCTAGTGACTTGGAGGAGTAAGAAGCAGAATGTGGTTGCTAGAAGTAGTGCAGAATCTGAATTCAGATCTATGGCTAATGGAATCTGTGAACTACTTTGGATCAAGAGAATGATGTCAGAGTTGAATATGGAAATGGAACTACCTATGAAGTTATATTGTGACAATAAAGCAGCCATTAATATTGCTCACAATCCTGTGCTACATGATCGTACTAAACACATTGAAGTGGACAGGCATTTTATCAAAGAGAAGATTGAAGCTGGAATTGTTTGCACACCATTCATATCTACCAAAGAACAAACAGTTGATATTTTTACAAAGGGGCTGTTTAAACCAGTGTTTGAATTTCTTATAAGCAAGTTGGGAATGTATGATATATACTTACCAACTTGAGGGGGAGTGTAGAAAAATGTAGCATATACATGTTATTTTAATTATTTGTACATCCGGGACTGTATAGATAAGAATTAGAGTAGATAGAGTTCTCTAATTCTTAGATTAGCTCGCAGAATAGATAGAATAGATAGATCCTACTTTTTAGGATCTGTAACAACTTAACTTTATCTGTAACTTGTATATATATCATTGCCGGATGGCTCAATAATACACAAGGAAGATTAATTCTTCAAACTTACAATTACCATCAACAAAGACGCAATAGCCAGATGTAGATCTTCGATCATTCTTAGAACCGGCCCAATCAGCATCTGCAAAGCATTCTATTCTCATGTGATCATGATTTTGATAAACAATACCTCGTCCCGGTGTTCCCCTTAAGTAACATAATATGTGTTCTACCGCAGCCCAATGATCAATGGTTGGAGATGACATGTATTGACTCACTACACTCACAGAGTAAGCAATATATGGACGAGTGACTGCGAGATAATTAAGCTTTCCAACCAATCGTCTATATCTTTCTGAGTCTTCAAACGACATGCCAAGACTTCTTGAGTGAGTTGCACATTGGGAACCATGGGAGTATTGCTCGGCTTTGATCCCAACTTCCCGGTTTCAGCGAGCAAATCAAGTACATATTTTACTCTGTGTTACCTCAATACCCAAGAAGTATTTTAATGAGCCTAGATATTTTGTCTGGAAGTGGCTATGAAGATAATTTTTAAGGGCCAAAATACATGCATTATCACTGCCTGTAATCACAATATCATCGACATACACCACAAGCAATGTGATACCTGCTTTCGTTCGTCTGTAAAAGAGAGTGATCTGATTTGCCTTTTATCATTCCAAACTATTCAATTGATCGACTGAACTTCCCAAACCATGCACGAGGACTCTATTTCAGACCATAAAGAGATTTGCGAAGTCGACAAACTTTACCACACTCCCCCTGAGCAACAAACCCCAGAGGTTGCTCGATGTAAACTTCTTCGTGAAGGTCACCATGCAAGAATGCATTTTTAATGTCCAGCTGATGTAAGTGACAATCATGAGTTGCAGCGAGTGAAATAAGTAACCTGACAGATGTTAATTTAGCAACAGGAGAAAAAGTGTCAGAATAATCAACACCATAGGTTTGAGCATAACCCTTCGCAACTAATCGGGCTTTCAACCGAGCAACAGATCCGTCTGGATTAACCTTAACAGCAAAGAACCACTTACATCCAATAGACTTCTTCCCTGTAGGCAAGTCTACCAGATCACAAGTACCATAAATATCCAAAGCATTCATTTCCTCTACCATGGCATGACGTCATTCAGGATGAGACAAAGCTTCTTTAACAGATTTGGGAACAGAAATAGAATCGATGGAAGCAATAAAGAACAGGGATAACTGATTATACGACACAAATGAAGAAATAGGATGAGTACAAGACCGAGTACCTTTACGTAGTGCTATCGGGAGGTCAAGATCTGCTGTAGAGACAAGATCTGACGATGCATGTACCGGTTCAGGACATGAGATCAAGGATGGACCAATATTAGGATAAGTAATCACAGGTGTCACAAGTGGAGGGTGATCTAGTGCTCTGTTTCGACAAGTGTAAACCAAGTGTACTGGAGGTCTGGAGTCGGGAACAGTATTCTGTGGAATGACTACAGACGGTATAGATTCTGGTATAGTGACAGAGCAAATGAGTATTTCATCATTGTCCCCGTGAATATCTGTCTTGCTTGGATGATGAAAAGGGGGTATTTTCATGAAATGATGCATCAATGGAAACAAGATATCTACTTGTACTTGCACAAAAACATTTATACCCTTTCTGAACTCGAGAATAAGGTGAGGATTAACGTCTCTAACAAAGCAAGTGCAACCAAATGTTTTAAGTGGAATAGGAAAAAGCTCTTTATCTGGAAATAAGCAGTGATAAGGAGCTTTACCGTTTAAAACAGAAGACGGCATACGGTTTATCAAAAAACATGCAGTAGACACGACATCCGCCCAAAACTGTTTAGGCACATTCATTTGGAATAGAAGAGCCCTTGCAGTTTCTAACAGATGTCGATTTTTTCTTTCAGCGACTCCATTTTGAGGAGGTGTGTCTACGCATGAAGTTTGATGAATAATGTCATTTTGAAGCATAAAAGATTTAAATGGAGCAGAGAGATATTCTTGGGCATTGTCTCCCCTCAACACACGAACAGGAACATTAAATTGAGTTTTAATTTCAGCACAAAATGAAGAAAAATGAGTAAATAACTCCGATCTACGTTTAATAAAGTATAACTATGTCATACGAGAATAATCGTCAACAAATGTAACAAAATATTTGAAGCCAGTTTTGTACACAACAGGACATGCACCCCAAACATCAGTATGAACAAGATCAAATGGAGCATTCGCTCGTTTATTAGGTCGAGGACTTAAACTAGTACGATGATGTTTTGCAAATTCACATGACTCACAATGTATAGAAGAAATCTTATTAAACTGAGGATATATTTGCTTCATTAGTGGGAGAGATGGATGTCCTAATCGGTAATGAGCTTCTAATAGATTTCCAACCCCAAGACAAGATATACCTTTTGTGATTGATGTATCCAAAATATAAAGACCAGCTGACTCATGTCCTTTACCAATAGTCTGCTTTGTCAACAGATCCTGAAACACACAATATCCAGGAAAAAATGTTACAGGACAATTAAGAGTACGTGTGATTTTACTGATGGAAAGCAGATTAAATGCAAACTTAGGAAGACTCAAAACAGGTGATAATGGTAATGTAGAAGTTGGGACAACAGTACCGGATCCAAGAACAGGTGAGGTAGATCCATCAGCTAAAGTGACACTAGAAGTAGGTAAATATGAATGAAATGATGAGAATAGACTAGGATTACCAGTCATATGATCTGTGGCACCTAAGTAAATGACCCATTTTGAGGATGAGGAAACAAGACATGTGTTTGAAATACCTGAATTGGCAGCTACCGAGATAGGAACAGATGAATGCTTTAGAAATTTTCGGTAGGAAATAAATTTGGCATACTCGTCTGAAGAAACAGCAATTGATCCATCAAATGAACAGGTAGCGGAAGCAACATGACCAAGCTGATAAACTTGATTCTTGAATAGCAATTTCCTACATTCTTTGATCAAATGCCCGGACTTCTTGCAATAATTGCATAATACTCCACTGTTAACTTGACCCGCACACGACTTTTTTTTTCTTTTTTGTACTTACAGCAGCTTTCTCGTTTTTGACTCAAAATTTGGAGAGTACAATGTCCAAGGCGTTGACTGCTATTGACCCAGCTTTCTCCATACTAATTGCGCATATGCGAGACCCAGCATGTGCGAACAATTAGTGCAAACAATAGTGAAGGGGTGGATTTCCACAGGTATGCGCTACTCTACTCCAGCAGACGCGAACAACCGGATGACGGGACGGATTTCGAAAGATATTCGATGCCAAATCCTAGACCCAAGGGACGAGACCAGAACGTGGGTATGTCTGGATACTTCGATTCTAGACCCCGGCGAGCGACTAACCACTACACCTCCTCTCACAGCTCTTGTCCCTTTGTAGTTTGTAGAGAAAGAACGAGATAGAAGTAACGTAACCTCGTGGTAGAGGACCTCGGGCGAGCCTGTTGAGGAGTTCCGACCAAATCTCCAGCCAGAAAAGTTGTGTCACGCGCCGGATTTTTGTTGCAAGTTTGTCTGAGGTAGGAGAAAAATTTGGGGCTATAAATTTAACTGAACTGAGTTTCTGAAAAGTTAGCAACTAATTGATTTTCTGGAAAGTAGAAGCTAATTGATTTTCTGGATTAAGAATCTGATTCTAGGGTCTTTGGATGTTCTGGAATAAGAATCTGGATAGAGGTTCTCGGAGGTTCTGGGAAGGGTCGGAGGTTCTGAAGGTTCTGGATTGAAATCACCTCTTGGAGAAAGAACCCAGTTAAGAACCTAAACTGAGATATGAATGACTAAACTGCAATCTGAAACTAAACTAAAATGGATGGCTCTGATACCATGTTGAAATATAAACTAGAATGATATTGAATGATATTGAAGGTGGAGAGAAGGATTTTCTGTGTATTTCATTAGTTGTGGAAGTCCCTATAAATATACATTACAAATAGAATATTCCTATATAAGATTCTATACAATAATAATATCTATGCTATATTCCTAATATATTCTAAAGCATATTCTAAAGTATATTCTAATATACTTTCACACTGATAATGTAACCACAAAGATGTTGGGTTGTAGGCTTCGGCCCATTCAGATTTGGGAGCCAAATAAATAAAGAGCAACAGTCTGCTCTAGTTAAATGTGCAGGCAGCCCTAGTTGGGCCTGTTTCTTTGGTGACAGTCAGGCCCAGAACCTTATTAAGTGTTTTACCCTAATTGTTTGCCTATATATATTGACTCTTGTACTTGTAAACTATGACTTGTATCATTCATCATCTCAATAAGAAAGAAAACCCTAGTTGCCCTCGTGGATTAGGTCAGTAACACTTACTGGCTGAACCACGTTATATTCGTGTGCCGTTCTTCTCGTTCCTTTCTAGTTTTTCAGATTCGTGTGTGAAAGATCTAACCCTAACAACCTGAGATCTAACCCTAACAACTGGTATCAGAGCAAGGTTAGCCGCCACCACTGCTGCCGCCCTGCGTCTTCAGCCTCCTCGTGCCACCAACAGTGCGCTGCCGCAGAAGAATATAGCCGGCAGATTGTAAAGGACTGGGACAATGGCAGATGACGAAAAAACCAAAGTCGAGAAGTTTGATGGACAAGATTTTGGATGGTGGAAGATGCAAATTGAGGATTTGCTGTGTCAGAAGGATTTGGATCAAGCCTTGACAGGGAAAAGACCAGAAAAGATGAGTGATGATGAATGGGCTGCTCTAGACAGGAAAGCTTTGGCTGTTATCAAATTTACCCTAGCCAAGAGTGTAGCGTTTAACATCTTGAAGGAGACTATTGCATGTGGTTTGATGAAGGATTTGTCAAACATGTATGAGAAACCATCGGCATCAAACAAGGTATTTCTTATAAGACAGCTAGTAAACACCAGAATGAAAGAAGGTGCATCCGTTGCATCAAACATTAATGAGTTTAATACTATCATATCCCGTTTACTATATGTTGATATTAAGTTTGAAGATGAAGTCCAAGCTTTATTCTTGTTATCCTCATTACCAGAAAGTTGGTCAGGAACAGTCACTGCGATTAGCGGTTCAACTGGAACCTCTAAACTCACATTTGAGGGCATTCGTGACATTATCCTAGGAGAGGATATAAGAAAGAGGAGTTCTGGAGAATCTTCTAGTGCTTTGTTAAGTACTGAAGGGAGAGGTAGAAAGAAAGAGAAGGGAAATGGCAGAGGTAGATCAAAGTCTAGAAAGAGGAGCCAGTCAAAACCGAGAATAGATATTCAATGTTGTAACTGCAAAGAAACTGGGCATTTCAGAAATCAATGCCCTAAATCTTCAGAAAGGAAGGAAGTAAATGCAGCCACCGACGATTCAGATGATGCCCTTATCTGTTGTGTTGAAAACTCAACAGAAACGTGGATTATGGATTCTGGTGCATCATTTCATGCTACTTTCAGCGCGAAGGCGATGAAGAATCTACGGACATGTAATTTTGGTAAAGTTCGTTTGGCTAATAACGACTCTCTTGACATCACAGGGATGGGTGACATAGATTTAAAGACTTCATTGGGCACCACTTGGACATTGAAAGACGTTCGGGTCATTCCAAGCCTTAAGAAGATCCTGATTTCTATTGGGCAGTTGGATGATCAGGGATTTGATGTTACTTTTGGTGAAGGATAATGGAAAGTTGTCAAAGGGAATCTTGTAATCGCCAGAGGCAAAAAGAGGGGTACTTTATATATGGTTGAAGCTCTTGATGATGAGATGAATGCAGTGACCAGCGGGCTGAATCCATCCAGTTTGTGGCATCAACGGCTAGGCCACATGAGTGAACAGGGAATGAAGATACTCGTTGCAAGGGGGAAACTTCCAGATTTGAAAAAGGTGGATTCTGAGTTCTGTGAGCCTTGTGTGCTTGGCAAGAAAAAGAAGGTTTCTTTTGTGAAGACAGGTCAGACACCGAAAACTCATAAGCTGGAGCTAGTTCACATGGATGTGTTTGGGCCAACGTCCCTTGGAGGATCAAGCTACTATGTGACCTTCATTGATGACTCAACACGCAAGGTATGGGTCTACTTTCTTAAAAATAAGTTTGAAGTTTTCAATATTTTTAAGAAGTGAAAAACTGTTGTTGAATTGGAAACTAATCTGAAGGTAAAGTGATTGAAATCGGACAATGGTGGTGAATACATTAGCACGGAGTTTATTGATTACTGTGCTGAACATGGCATTCGGATGATCAAGACGGTTCCAGGCACTCCTCAACAGAACGGAATGGCAGAAAGGATGAACAGAACTTTGAATGAGAGGGCCAGAAGTATGAGACTCAATGTTGGGCTTCCAAAGACGTTCTGGGCTGATGCAGTGAACACTGCCGCTTATCTTATCAACCGGGGGCCATCAGTACCATTGGGTTTCAAGATACCAGAGGAAGAGTGGAAAGGAGAAACGGTACAGTATGGGCATTTAAAGGTATTTGGATGCAGCGTTTACGATCTTATCAAAGATGGTGACAAGTTAGTTGTTAAAGCCAAGAAATACACTTTCATTGGATACAGGGGAGACAACATGGGTTATCGACTTTGGGACTTTGAAAGTAGAAAGGTAGTCAGAAGTAAACATGCTACATTCAACGAGGCTGAACTTTATAAAGACAGAAGCACAGGAAACTCAAAGATTCAGAAAGAGCAGGTTGAGTTTGAAAATGATGTCATCAGAAACAGAGAGTTCAGAAACAGAGAGTCTGAAGATACTCAAGACAGTGGGAGCATGGAGAATGATTCCAGTACTGACGAGTCTGAGGATGATCACGAAAACTCTGTTAATAGTGAAGATAGTGGGAGCATGGAGAATGATTCCAGTACTGACGAGTCTGAGGATAATCACGAAGACTCTGTTGATAGTGAAAATTCAGAGGATGAAGGAGCACCTTCACCTGTGCAGCCGAAGCCAGTTGAAACACAGTGGGTCAGAAGATCCACTAGAGTCACTAAACCTCCAGAAAGATTCAGTCCTTCAGTCAATTATCTCCTTTTGACTGAAAATGGAGAACCAGAAAGTTACTTTGAAGCAGTAAAGCAGAATGATTCGTTTCAGTGAGAGCAGGCTATGAAAGAAGAAATGGATGTCTTACACAAGAACAAGACATGGGTTCTTACTAAGCTTCCGCCAGGTAAGAAGGCACTTCAAAATAAATGGGTATTCAGAATCAAGGATGAACCTGATGGGTCAAAACGTTACAAAGCCTGTTTAGTGGTCAAAGGTTTTCAGCAGAAAAGGGGAGTGGATTATAATGAGATTTTTTCTCTCGTGGTTAGAATGGCCACCATCAGATTGGTTCTAAGTATTGTAGCTGCAGAGGGCTTACATCTAGAGCAGCTAGATGTTAAAACAACATTTCTACATGGCTATCTTGATAAGAATATCTACATGGCACAGCCTGAAGGATTTCAGGTTGTTGGTAAAGAAAATCTGGTCTGCAAACTAAAACGGAGCTTGTATGGTCTAAAACAAGCACCAAGGCAGTGGTATCTGAAGTTTGATAACTTCATGATAAGGACAGGTTACAGAAGATGTGAGATGGACCATTGTTGTTACGTGAAGAGGTTCAAGAGTTCATATATCATTCTACTTCTCTATGTAGATGATATGTTGATAGCTAGTGCAGATATGAAAGAGATCAGCAGGTTAAAGAAACAAATGTCTCAAGAATTTGAAATGAAAGATTTGGGTCCAGCCAAACAGATTCTAGGGATGAGCATAGTCAGAAACAGGGAGAATGGTTCTTTAACGCTATCCCAGGAAAAGTACATTGGGAAAGTGTTGGAGAAATTCAAAATGAATGGTGAGAAGACTAAACCAAGAAACAAGTCTTTGAGAAGTCACTTCAAGCTTACCAAAGACCGGTCTCCGAGAACAGACGAAGAGAAAGCAGAAATGGCTAAAGTTCCTTTTGCATCTGCAGTCGGTAGCCTCATGTATGTTATGGTGTGCACGAGACCAGATATTGCTCATGCAGTCGGGGTTGTTGGTCGCTTCATGTCAAAATCGGGGAGGGAACATTGGGAAGCAGTTAAATGGATACTTAGGTATTTGAAGGGTACTACAAAGATGGGGTTATGTTTCAGAGGTAAAGACGTGATTTTGAGAGGGTATTCTAATGCTGATTTGGGTGGATGCAAAGAGACATTTAAAAGCACTACGGGGTACATTTTTACAGTGGGAGGAACTGCAGTTAGTTGGATGTCCAAACTTCAGAAAAGTGTAGCTCTTTCAACAACCGAAGCAGAGTACATGGCAGTTGCTGAAGCCAGTAAAGAGCTGGTTTGGTTCAGGAACTTCCTTGACGAGTTAGACAAAAAGCAAGCAGATTACTCGTTACACTGTGATAATGAGAGTGCGGTGAAACTTGCCAAGAATCCAGTCTATCATGGGAAACCAAAGCACATTGGGATGAGATCACTTTGTCAGAGGGTTGATCACTGAAGGAACGATGAACTTGAAGAACATCTCAGGTGCAAAGAATCCAGCAGATATGTTCACTAAATATGTGACGCTGGACAAGCTGAAGTTCTGTGTAACTTCAGCTGGCCTTCAAGAATAATGTTGAGAAGGCAGGTGGCAACTAGGAGGAGCTAAATACAGATGAAGTTTACAGAAGTACAGAGGAGTGGAGTGCAGTTGATCGTGTTTCGAAGCCTACAAGTGGGAGATTGTTGGGCTGTAGGCTTCGGTCCATTCAGATCTGGGAGCCAAATAAACAAAGAGCAGCAGCCTGCTCTAGTTAAATGTGCAGGCAGCCCTAGTTGGGCCTGTTTCTTTGGTGGCAGTCAGGCCCAGAACCTTATTAAGTGTTTTACCCTAATTGTTTGCCTATATATATTGACTCCTGTACTTGTAAACTATGACTTGTATCATTCATCATCTCAATAAGAAAGAAAACCCTAGTTGCCCCCATGGATTAGGTCAGTAACACTTACTGGCTGAACCATGTTATATTCGTGTGCCGTTCTTCTCGTTCTTTTCTAGTTTTTCAGATTCGTGTGTGTGTGAGATCTAACCCTAACAACCTGAGATCTAACCCTAACAAAAGATGGCTAGTATAATGGTTCAAATATTCGTATATCATTACAAATACATTTCCTAGACCCTAATGGTTTGCATTGAGTTGGACTGCTATGCAAAAATATTCGATCGGCCAACATTGATAAAAACAAATCTTCTTTGAAAAACTGATTAACTAATCTCTCACATATTAGTCCCAGGTGTGTAAGAATATCTAGCTGACCTCATTAAAAAAAGCTAACATTCCATTAGAGTATTAGACACTTGAAAGGTAGCATATATTGTTCAAATTAATATGAAATCCGCTAAAAATTGACTCCACTTGGGGGTCTTTTGCATCTCTTAAAATAACCTAATTGTTGTTGTAGTAAGTTGTAGAAGAAACAATAATCGGCTACAATTTAAAAGACGAGTGTAATAAAATCTTACCGGTCTTGGTCATAGCGAGAGAAGTAATCCTTGCTGTATAATATGTTCCTCTTGTGCTTAGCTCTTGTACACTGAATCTGCACAGTCCTTCTAGCACAACTATGTAAGTGACTCTCCCACTCGGTTTTTCTACTCCTCTTGAGAGATGAAGAGCTCGAGCAGCAACCCCTCTTCAGGAAGAACATTCATACATTATATATAATAGAAGGCTAGCTTCCCTAACTCAACTTCTACCTAGTAGATGTTTGACACACTTTATTATGTATAAACACCAAATATGAATTTATGGTTACACTTTAAACCTAATTCATAAAAAACAACTCACTTAACATGGTGTATTTACCGATTATGCCAGTGAATAACTTCATGCTGGTTTTTTCCATCATGTTTGTGAGCATCTGTCATAAGACCCTGACTTTTCGGTGTACGCTCCACTTGATCAGTTGCCACACCTACATCACTTGCATATTGGCTATATAAATAATCCATCAAAATGAGTACTGGAAGAAAAAAAATCTTACAGCATAGTAAATAAAGTAATATGCATTCACCTGGAGTTAAGGTAGGTCCAACAGTAGTAGTCTCTGCAGAATCCTGTACAGGGAGAACCCCTATCAATCCCTTCTCTTCTCTCTGCCATAACTCTTGCTCCACAAGTTTCACACTGCTCCAATCAATAACACGGCTTGCATCAAACCCAAATCGTGGAAAGAAAATAAGCATGGATAGAAGTATAGAACTACAAGATTTTGTGAAGCCACCAATAACTGAAACCTTCTCCCTCATAGTCAGTTATAGCTTATAAAATTTGAAAGAGCAACTTTCTCAGTCCCAAAATAGCCTGTTTAGCTCACTTTTATGCACTAAGTTACTTTAAATAATGTAATAAAAAGTTCTAAAAGTTACTTTATACTTGATTTAAAGCAATACGCCCCATTACTCAAGCAATTTGAATAAAAGAGGACTAAAAGGACCGGAAAAAATAATGGATATTTATTTTTCTCACTTGCTCACTGTATTTTACTAATTAATGTTAATATATAATATTACTATATAATACTAATAAATTATTAAAAACTTGGGGACCCATAAATCGAAGAATCTGTTCTGTAGAACCTATTGAACCTCTTGAAAAAATCCTAGGTGTGTAAGTAGTAATAAAAGGATATATAAGAAATTAGAATACTAAGCACACCATAGTTGATGAGTTTAATTAAAAAAATATTATAAAATCATTGTTATACCAATATTTGATAACTATTAGATGACATTTATCAAAGGAACCCATTGTAGAAAAATAAGGTCAAAATTAGATCTTTTGAGTATATATTTGTAAACAATGATTACTTTGTAAAATAGCCTGTTTAGCTCACTTTTATGCACTAAAGTATTGCCCTATTCAAATTTGGTTTTGCTTTCAGTACAACTTTCAGTTTATTTTCTAAATATGTAAATTGGAATCATAAAGACATGTCTAGTTGTTATTATGGAAGGATTAACTTTATCACAAGTTAAACACAAATGTGAGGTGTATATTTTATTTAGTGAGGAAAGTAGTATACTGTATTACACTTTCATAACTGTCAAGCACAGTTGACTTTCAGCTAGTTCACTTTTTTAGGCGCCAGGCTCTATTCCCAGACAAATCGGACTCAAAAGGGCGATGCTATGGCATGAATAAATGTCACGACCATGAAAACAGGCAACAAAATAGTAGCCCAAATGGCGCTAAGGAGGACTAAGGTATGATTTAGATTTCAGAGCCAAGAAAAGTTAATAAATGAAAAGAACAAGGACCTGCGAGGAGAAGTGCATCGAATTCGAATTATAGCGCCAGGCAACAGCACTTTGTTCCTGAAAGGAAGGATTGCAAGGCGAGCGGGGAGCTCAACGGATTCCGCCATACTTTAGCTATTTCCTGAAATCATTCCGCAAAATAGAATTCAGAATAGAGTATAGATATACGCCTAGCAGGAAGTACTCCCAAAATTGGAAAAGGGAAGAAAGAAAAGACAAAATTGCATTTACCCATTCCTTTTCAAAAATAAAAATAAAATGAGATAAGTCTCTAATTTGCTTAATGAATTAGGATGTTTTTACTTGGATCGTAATTCGTCCGAGACCGGACCAGATCAGATCAGACCAGATCAGTTCAGACCAGATCAGACTTGGATAGTTATAAAAATACAAAGAAACCAGATCAGACCAGACCAGACCAGTTCAGACCAACGTCGCTCCTCCGGTCGCTCGTTGCCGTCGAAGCCGTCGAGGGTCGTCCGTCCGCCGCTCACCTTCGGAGGTTACCGTCGAAGCCGCGCGCACCCTCAGACCCAACAGCCGTCACACCTTCGGAGGTTGCCGTCGACGCCGCGCGCACCCTCAGACCCAGCGGCCGTCGCACCTTCGGAGGTTGCCGTCGAAGCCGCGCGCACCCTCAGACCCAGCGGCCGTCGCACCTCCTCTGCTCCTCCGCTCAACCTCCGCCGCTCCTCCGGTCCGCTTACTCCAACCTCCGATCCGCAGGTATGTATCTTTTTTAATAATAATTTTTTTCAATATTTTTTATTTTAATTAATTTTGAGTAATATAATTTTGGAATAGTTGTAATGAGCAGCAAAATACTTCCAAGAGGTTGTTTTATATTAGCATAACCCTCAATTGCAATCTTACATAAAAAGTGTGAAGTTCATTGGTTATGTATTGTGTTAAGTGTTTTTTGAAATCATTTTTATGAAGATTTTTGTAATCTGTTGGTTACTTGAATTGCTTACACTTTGAGGATTTTGTAATTTGTGAAGTTCATGTTGTTGATATTGTGATGACTTTAAACAGTTTACACTTTTGGTATTTTGTTAATTCTGTTACAGGACGTTTTTGAAAGATCCTAAATATGATTGAATATTTTAAAAAAATGTTGGAAACTTGCGGCGCTTATTTGTGTAAGGCGCCGCATAAGTTAAAAAAAAATAATTTAATTTATTTAAAAATATTTGCGGCGCTTATTTACAGAAAAGCGCCGCACGGTTACGTATTAAATTATTGATTTAAAAAAATATTTTGCGGCGCCTATACGCAAAAAGCGCCGCACACATATTAAATATAATTTTATTAAAAATAAAATATTTGCGACGCTTTTTTAAAATAAGCGCCGCACGCGTTAAATTGCGGCACCGAGATGTGCGGCGCCTGAAAGCGCCGCACGTTGGTTGATTTAAGCGCCGCAAACAGGTAATTTTGCACCAGTGAAAGCTCTAACTCGGAACTGTGGGCTCTTTCGTATTCGGTCTCTCTGTTTTTCTGCGGCGAACTTCGCTAGGTCTGCCGGTCTTGGCTTGGAAAGATCGATGAAAGAGTCAGGGTAGGCGCAGGGCTCTTTCGTCTTCGGTCTTTCTGCGGGGAATGAACTTCGCTAGGTCTGCCGGTCTTGGCTTGGAAAGATCGATGAAAGAGTCAGGGTAGGCGCAGGGCTCTTTCGTCTTCGGTCTTTCAGGCGGCAGAAACTTTTAATTAATCCAGATCGGGTACCACCGATCTGGAATAAGAACCGATGCTTTTTTTTTTGTTCTTTCTTCCGCATCAGTTTTAACCGATCTAAAATAAAGTTTCGTTAATTCTAAAAATTACCCCGTTTTTCTTTTCACATCGGTTCCAAACATAACCGATTTACAATATTTTCTAAAATTTTAAAAAGTACCCCGCTTTGGTTTTTAACATGGGTTATAACAACAACCCATCTAAATAACTTTATAAAAATTATAAAAATGACCCCGTGTTAGTATTCTACATGGGTTTTAAAATAACACATGTAGATAAGGCGATGTGAAAAGCCTTTTTTGTACTAGTGTTTTTTAAATATTATTTCGTTTTATTAAACTAATAATCTTTTGTGAAGAAAAGTTTATCAAAAATTAGTAATGGAATTAATAAAAAATTAAATAAATCAAAACCTATGAAGCGTTAGGTTCTAATTTGATAGTTTTCCATCATTCGGGTCCTATACTGATATGTTTCATCTTTCGGGTCCTGAATTGATGATAATTAATCTATCTTTCGGGTTCTGAATTGATAAAATTCCATAAAAAATTATGTGTCACAATGTTGTGTATAAATATAGGCAAACATTTGCACTTGACTGTAGTACAAAAATTGCAAATACTCAAAACTGAAAAAATAAATAACAATCTTTAGCCTCTTAAAATAAAAAATATTCCTCTCATACTTCTTTTCCAAAAAAAATCTTGCGGGTTTTAAAGGCTGCCCCACTGGTCAATGTAAAAAACACACATGAAAACAGATATTGAAAACAATTACCCTGAAATAAATATAGTCTTGAGAAAATTTATGTGCAATATATACTCCCTCCGTTTCGAAAAGATTCGCCAAATTGACTTTTCTTAGTCAATGACCATCAACTTTGATTGATGATAGTTTTTAATACAAAATTATTTAGAATATGAAAATTATATCAAAATGCTCCTTTTCATAAAATTATAAAATTTTCAAATTATATACAAAATATAATAATTGAAATCATCGTCCAAAGTTTGCCATCATTGACCAAGAAAAGTCAATGACTCCATTTGTTTGTCTGCGGTTTCACTCCAAAACGCTGCAAAAAGCAGCGTTTCCCTTTGTAAAAAAATTCGGCGGTTTGGCCTAAGCTGCCGATATCCAAACAGGTCCAATATGGCGAAATATTATGTGTGTGTGTGTTTATGCGTCACAATGTTGTGTGTAAATATAGATAAAAATTTGCACGTACAAAAAATGCAAATACTCAAAAATTAAAAAAATATACCAAATTTTAGCCTCTTAAAATAAAAAAAAATCTCTCATACTTCTTTTCCAACAAAATCTTGCAGGTTTTAAAGGTTGCCCCGCTGCTCAATGTAAAAAATACACATGAAAAAAGATCTTGAAAATAATTACCCTGAAACAAAAAATAATCTTGAAAAAATTTATGTGTAATATATATATATATATATATATATATATATATATATGTTAGGAGTATTATATGTGTGTGTGCGTGTATTTATGTGACACAATGTTGTGTATAAAAATATAGGTAAAATTTTGTACTTGATTGTAGTACAAAAAATGCAACAAAATATAGCGGGTTTTAAAGGTTGTAGTATAAAAATATAGGTAAAATATAAGTAAAAAATAAATAACACATTTAATCCTCTTGAAATAAAAAATATTCCTCTCATACTTCTTTTCCAACAAAATATAGCGGGTTTTAAAGGTTGCCCCACTGGTTCATGTAAACAATACACATGAAAAAAGATTTTGAAAATAATTACCTTGAAATAAGAATGATTTGTAACAATGCACATCATGATCAATGGGGGTGCACACATATAATTAAAACAACGTGTACTTTAAATGAGAAGAAAAGGTAAAACTTGTCTACAAAATGCCACCTCATTTTCTGATTATGGTGGTGCACATTTCTATATCACATAATGTGCAGCTCAGAAATCTAATGTTCCAAAACCCATTTCCATTTTTCTTCTTAGATCATGTTCTCATTTGATCCAAATTATATACGTAGTGTGTGTATGGGTAAGCAAAAATCGTCTAATGAATTTGAGGACCCCGGTTGCAAATGTAAAATCGAGACCCTACATTAATATAAAACTTAAAAAACAATCTAAATACATATACTAAAATCAATCGAATATTCATTAAATTAAATAATGTAATAAAAAGTTCTAAAAGTTACTTTATACTTGATTTAAAGCAATAGGCCCCATTACTCAAGCAATTTGAATAAAATAGGACTAAAACGACCGGAAAAAATAATGGATGTGTATTTTTCTCACTTGCTCACTATATTTTACTAATTAATGTTAATATATAATATTACTATATAATACTAATAAATTATTAAAAACCTGGGGACCCATAAATCGAAGAATCTGTTCTCTGAACCTATTGAACCTATTGAAAAATTCCTAAGTGTGTAAGTAGTAATAAAAGGATATATAAAAAATTAGAATACTAAGCACACCATAGTTAATGAGTTTAATTAAAAAATATTATTAAATCATTGTTATACCAATATTTGATAACTATTAGATGACATTTATCAAAGGAACCCATTGTAGAAAAATAAGGTCAAAATTAGATTTTTTGAGTATATATTTGTAAACAATGATTACTAATTGTCAAAAAAATATTTTCAGCTACAAAATAAAAAAATATGTAGGAATAATTTATTTGAATGATTATTATAAAAACAGTAGTTCAGTGAAGGTTGTTGTTAAATAATAAGTACATAATAACAAATAATTTTGGTAGTAAACAAAAAATAATTAAGATGGTGAAAGTCAAAACTACATATTTATATTTTAACCAATCGCAAGTCGTATATATAGTCAAACCACAACCTGTGGATTTTGATCAACGAAACTAGAGAGTTAATGAAGTTATTAAAATACAATCCATTGAGTCAATTGAGTTCTCTTTTAAACTCTGATGGATGAATTCATATACAATCGACGGTCCTTATAAATTTAAGAAAAACTTTATACATGTATCTTACCGTGCGGTGCACGGGTACACATACTCGTAATATATATATTGGAAAAACGTATCAAAAGAGAGATGTACTATATAATAAAAATTATATTTAAAGAAAATATAGCCAAAACACTTATTTGTAAATATTGGTGCACGGGTGCAAACTATGTTTTGAAGTAAGAAGAAATAAATATTACAATGAGGTTATAGTAGTCTACGCATTTTGAAACACTTATTTGTAAATATTGGTAGTGTAGTTGACTTTGTCATCTTAAACATATATCAATATTTTCAAACTCGCAATTTATAATTTTCGAGCTTACAATTTGACGGTTACCCACCATTGTTGATAGTTTTATTTATCCTTCCTCCCATTGACTTGAACGAAAACATGTTATGTTATAAGTGAATATGTTAGTACCCAATTTTGATAAGATTTTGATGATGCCACTATACTTTGCTCATGTACACTGT